AACCTTTGAAATGCTTTTAAATGTTTTAAATACTTTATGGGGGGGGGATACAAGTTAAACACTTATAGTTATTGCTTCGATCACATGTGATTGCATTAATCACATGTGATTAATAACTAGGAAACCAATGATTTTATCACTGTTCAAACTGTTTTACTTCAAAATGTTTTACAAACTCTTTTACTTATCAAATGCTTTATTGTAAACTTTGTTTTACTACTTATAAATTTGCATGCCCATATATGTATAGATGTATAAATAATGTTTAAAGGGCTTAGGAAAGCCACCTGTCCTATTTCCTTTTCTCGATTTGGATGTGGTCTGGTGGAATTTCGGGTGACCATCCGAGGGTCGTTTCAATATTAGTTATATATCATATATACATGTATAGACATAAAAGTACTTCCATATTCATACTTATCAGCACATCATTAGTAAGTTACCATCGGGGTAACACGGGATCATACTACAATTTCTAGATCAACGAGTCAGTTCATTCAGGAGTCAATACTTATTACTAAGAGAACATATACAACGATACTAGAACAAGTAACATTATATTGCATATACACGAATACGTTAACAATTGTGATCCACTGTATGGGAGCATGTCTTAATTGTCATGACCCGAGTTGTAGCCAGAGTCTCTTGGAGGGAGAGCGTGAGTTTGCGTATAGATCTATACTGGATTGACTATCCTACACCTCGCTGCTAGCTACAGTGGGACCGACAGGTCTGCGGGTGCCAAACGTCATACCTTATTTTTCGACTATACGTTGTCGATGTTACCAGTCGATAGTATGGTGCAATTTATCACATGATACCTTAATATAAACCCGGTTTAAGGTAGTTAGTACAGCAGTAGTTCCTATAAAACAAAACTACAGTACTACAATAATTTACCCATTACATTTTGGTGATAACCTCACTTAAACTTTAATGTACAAACTAATTTTTTTAAATGATAGTTACACTTGGGAAATTACACACTTTTACATCAAACGAGCATACAAAACAGTTAAGCCTTGGTAAAGGGCTACTTTAACAGAAAATATAGGTTTTTCTGAGAGATTCAAACTTTTACAAACACTTACATACATTTGCAACTCATACTTGCGACAGGTTCAAACGTTTTGATAATAAACCTCGACACTAAAATACTTATGAATTCACCAGCTTAATGCTGATAAACTCTTTCAAAATAACTTGTATTCTCAGGTCATCAGTGTAACAGCCCGAAATCTCAAGTATTGTTAAAATTACATTTTGGGGTGTTTTAAAGGGGGGACTCGGCGAGTTGGAGCCAGACTCGCCGAGTAGGATCGCAGATCGGGTCGCGGGTTCGCGACTGGACTCGACGAGTCCAGATAGGGACTCAGCGAGTCTGCGCTGTTTAGCGAAAACCCTAACCGTTCAGGTTTGGGACGTATAAAGGGGATCATTGGCCGTCATTGTTCCCTTTTAGCCGTCTGAGAGGAGCCCTAAACCGATTGTGTGCATCTGGAGCAAGGTTAGAGGCCATGGGTGATTGTGAAGGAGTTGTTGTGCAAGGAAGGGAAGGTTTTGGCTAAAGGAACAGCAAGGGAGTCACATGCTGAAGATTGGGGACACACAGAATACATTATCTAGGTATGAATTCGGGTATACTCTGCTATGTTGATATATTTAGAGGATTAGGGTTTATGGAACCCTTTTGTGGATAGATTGAGTGTTACCCAGGTCCCCCAAGCGATTGTAACCCTGTGTTGGGACCTTTGGAGGTCCAGATAATTCCATGTCTGGGCATTTCGGGAATTGGTGAAGGTTTTGGATTGAAATCCTTATGCCTTAGGTCAACATGTAAACCATAAGTCTTGGGGTGTAGCATGAGCACCTAAATGAAGACCTTATGTAAAGGACCAGTCGAGGAAGGCCAGACCTATGAATGGTCGGAGCAGTTATGACCTTAGGAAGCAGTTTGAGCGACTGCATGGCATGGACTCGCCGAGTCAGATGAGCAGACTCGGCGAGTAGCTTGAAGAATAACTGGGACTCGCCGAGTTGTTCCTCAGACTCGGCGAGTGGAGTCGGGGTGGCCCCGCGATTCTTCCAGGAGTAACTCGTCGGGTCAAGGAGGATACTCGACGAGTAGAAGGGAAACTTTAGAGGACTGGAGGATGACTAGACTCGCCGAGTCGCCAGGGTACTCACCGAGTCCGGTCGAGTTGACCGTGGACTGTTGACCAGAGTTGACCTAGGTGTGATTTCTTAGGGTCAGTTGTCTTGAAAGATAAAAGTGTTAATAAGGGACGTACGATATTACAGGGAGTCTGTAGCTCGACGGATCGAGTGCGAGGGATTTCATGAGTTGCTAGCTTTCAGTATCCACGAGGTGAGTCTTCTCACTATACTATACCCGGAAGGGTTTGACTGTGTGACCGGAAGGTCGAATACAATGTATGTTATATATGCTATAAATAGAAAGGTGGTTGCTATGCATGATATGTATGTTTATACGGGCCGGAAGGCGATATGTTATGTGACAGAAAGGTCAGGTATGATATATGATGTATGTGTATGTGCGTTAGATTAAATGTATTATGTGTTGTAAATGTTATGGGCCGGAAGGCAATATGTTGTGGGCCGGAAGGCAATATGTTACGGGCCGGAAGGCAATATGTTAATGGCCGGAAGGCAATATGTTACGGGCCGGAAGGCAATACGTTATGGGCCGGAAGGCGATTATCTCATGGGCCGGAAGGCATTGTGCAGTGGACCGGAAGGTCAGGGCCTGGAAAGGCGTATGTGTGTAAGGTGTATATTGGGGAACTCACTAAGCTTCGTGCTTACAGTGTTTTATGTTATGTTGTTTCAGGTTCTTTCAGTAACGCGGGATGGCACTGGCTCGATTGTACACACCAAAGAAAGAGTTGTATTTTGGAGGATCCTGGTTTTCTATTCAAGTGAAAATGGAACTATGTTTTGGTAATTCAAATATGAATATGATTTTAAACAAGTATTTTAATGTTAAATTGATTACTTAAATGAAAATTTTGCCTTGAAAATCACGGTGTTACAAATTGGTATCAGAGCCTTGGTTTGAGGGATTCGGATACGCCTTCGAGTAAATCTGGACTCAAACTGAGGAAGTAAGAAAAAGTTTTCAAATAAATAGTTTTCTAAAAGTGAATAAGAGTTCAAAGAGAAAGCAAGAAAGAGCAGTGTGTACAATCAGCCAGAGCCAAACGGTGATTTCCCAAAATACCCTTACTTTTGTGTTATGAAATATCTATGATGCACTTTATGAGATATTATTGCATGCTAGAGACAGGCTAGGTATTTCATATCTTAGGACTAGAGTGGCCTGATTTGTGATGCCTTAGCCTAGGGTTTGTCGTTATATGTGCGTTATGCTTTTGTGTGTATGTGATGAGTGAGGGTATCTAGTTAGAACGCATGAGGGGTAGAGTTACAGAGTTCAGTGGTATTTCCGAGGATGAGCCGAGAAGGTGGAGCTATCACAGATAGGGAGTCCTATGTATTCTTCGATGCTCGAATGCTGCTTGCTTTGTGCTTTGTGGAACTCTCGATGATGGGAGTCAGCTACTAAGTGAGTATGACGATATTCAGGAGGTAGATGGCTGGCATCATTTGGAGCTCTTCAGCAGCTGATAGCAAAGAAGTGGGAGGACGGCGGAAGGGACTAGGGAGTAAACCTAGCCAGATGAGTGCGCTGGTAGAGTAGAGGATTTCGCTGGGGAGCGAGCACGCGTGATGGGATTGGTGAAAGAGCAGGTCGATCAGCTACTTAGGAACTCTGGGATGGTCCGTGTGGAAAGTATGGGTAGATGTGGCAGGTAGTATGGGCCCGTACTACTGAAAGCAGAGGACCCATACTTGATACAGGGAGCATTCTGAAGGTCCTAAGGAACGGGATGAGAAGTGATGTGATGGTTCGAGTACCATACATCGGAGCGGATTGCGGAGTGATGTTATGGTCCGGGTACCATACATCGGAACAGATTGAGGATAGATGTGATGGTTCGAGTACCATACATCGGAGCGGATTGCGGAGTGATGTTATGGTCCGGGTACCATACATCGGAACCGATTGAGGATAGATGTGATGGTTCGAGTACCATACATCGGAGCGGATTGCGGAGTGATGTTATGGTCCGGGTACCATACATCGGAACAGATTGAGGATAGATGCTGTGGTTCGAGTACCATACATCGGAGCGGATTGCGGAGTGATGTTATGGTCCGGGTACCATACATCGGAACAGATTGAGGATAGATGCTGTGGTTCGAGTACCATACATCGGAGCAGATTGAGGAGTGATGTTATGGTTCGGGCCATACACCGGAGCAGATTGAGAAGGGATGTCATGGGATGAGTACCATGGTTCGTAGTGGATGATGCTTGTGACTATCTTGTTATCAGGACATGATCGATGAGGTAGAGATCGGACGCTATGGGTTTTAGGCCTGCAGACCATGATTGAGTATGGAGAGGTGTTCCTCGAGGGGAAAGGCGAGTGCCTATCAGAGTATTTTGGTAAGGAGTTAAAGACAGAGGAAAATTTCGGTTGGGTCGAGCAATCAGTCGATAGAGGAGAGGTCACCTTCTAGGTGGGTGGTGCCATTATGTTCGTGTGCAAGACACGAGAGGCCTGATGTTTCAGTTTTGGATTGGGAATACACCCTGCAGGTCGTTATCGATAATGATTTCC